TCTCATCCGAGCTATGTAGGTTGCTGAAACAAAGCTTGCAATATGACCTACGAAACTGGGATGGCAGGGGACTGTAGCCAAAATTGAGTTTGTCTTTAAGCTCTTCATCCATTCATCCAAATTAGGCCCTAACATGCATGGATTGCATCATTTACTATCCAAAGCCCTCATTATTACCTAAAGCTCAATGACTAACATGCATGGATTGCATCATTTACTATCCAAAGCCCTCGTTATTACCTAAAGCTCAATGAACTGAAAGATAAACACAAAAAGGATTAAAAGCACAAGTTTAACTCAAAAAAAACATAACCAAATCATAAGCTAGAAGGGTACAAAATGATATGTAAATATGCACCGATCAGCCATGTTCATGGGATCCGGTTCGTAGACCTCTGCAGCTTCATAATCATACTCATCCTCCACAATCATATTATGGAGGATGATGCAAGTCATTATAATGCTTCTGAGGACCTCCTCATCAAACATACGGGTTGCATCTCGAATAACCAACCACCAAGCTTGAAGGATGCCAAAACACCTTTCGACATCTTTCCTGTATTTTTCTTGATAGGTAGCAAATAATTTTTGCTTCTGGGATCGGGGATTCGGAATGGATTTGACAAATGTGGTCCACCTCGGGTAGATGCCGTCAGCTAGATAATACCCCGTCTGGTAGACTGTATTGTTGACTTGATAGGTGATATTGGGGCCTTGGCCTCTCAAAACCTCGTTGAAGACCGGGGATTGACCCAGCACGTTGAGGACATTTTGGGATCCAGGAACTCCAAAGAAGGCATGCCAAACCCATGTGTCGAAGCTAGCAACGGCTTTAAGGATGATACTTTTTTGGCCTTTTCTATTTCCGTAATCACCTTGCCAGGCAGTTGGGCAATTCTTCCATTGCCAGTGCATGCAGTCGATGCTGCCAATCATTCCTGGAAATCCTCGAGCTTCGGCTTTTTGTAAAAGCCGTTGGAGGTCCCTCGGAGTAGGTCTACGTAGGTAGTCCCTAGTGTACAGAGTTTTAACTGCATCACAAAATCTTACCAAAGCCTCCAACGTAGTGGACTTCCCCATCTGGCAATCTCATCCACCTGATCAGCAGATGCTCCATACGCCAACATTCGTATAACAGCTGTAAACTTTTGCTCTGGAAGAAGTCTCAAAACCCCAGCAGCATCACACTTTTGAACAAAGTATGCATCATGATTGCAAATATCATGCATGACTTTATTGAACAAATGGGGTTGCATTCTAAATCGCCTTCGAAAATCAACATCAGAGTACAAAGAAGTTGGTATAAAATAATCTTCCAAAAGATTCTTACCCCGAGAATGTCTATGTCTGTCCACATTCCGGCCGCGACCTTGGTTCTCTTCATCTTGCAAAGCCACTGCTATGACAACTTGTTCATCGACTTGTCTCTGCAACTCATTGATTTCATCTGCTCTACGGTTTCTCTAATTTCTTTCTCGCTCTTGCCTCTCCAAGTATCTCCTAAAATCTTCCATTGAGAATGAATGGAGTATGAATTCTAAACTCCGAGAAATGAAAATATAGAAAGATGTTGTGTGAGAGGTATGAGCTGAGCCTCTGGTTTTATAGAAAATTTTGGCAAGATAGAGATGCCACGTGGCTTGATTTGATTGGATGAAAATCTTATCTGAAATTTGAAATTCATCCGACATTTGAACCCAAATTTATCCGAAATTTGAATTTTGAATTCATCCGAAATTTGAACCCGAATTTATCCGAATTTTGAATTTTGAAATTCATCCGAAATTTGAACCCAAAAATCTTATCAGGAAATTTTATCCGATTATGAATAGTCTTAACACGTAGGAACCCGGAAATCTTATCCGAAAATATTATCCAAATTAATTATTGAGGTAAAAAAATTTGTGGAAAAAACAAAAAAAAGAATAGTAATTGCCCTTAGCCATGGCAACAGATGGAAACACAAAATACTATTTGCAAGGGCAACCACTATTCACATGAATAGTGGCTGCCCTAGCTCCCCCCTTGCCATGGCTAAGGGCAAATGGGTGGAGTTGCTCTAAGGGGGCCCAAAAACTAGATCCAAGGTGAGACGACTTGGGTTACGGCCCCCTATCATCTCAAGCACGTGGCTCAAGTGGGAACTTCTTTTTGCAAACCTCTTCTTGAGGCTCCATCTCAGCCATTTAAGTGATCTCAATGGCTGGGGAGAAAAAGCAAGCTCACACTAGAATCGGGTACGCTGTAATTTCTTCTTTGCCACTCGCGCTTTTTCTTCTTCCTTCCTTCCGCCATTAATTGTTTTTTGAATTAAAACCACAAACCCCAAAATCTGACAACCCAAACACCCAAAAGCTCATAACTCCACCCAAAAACCAGATTTGTTTTCATCTGGGGAAAATATTAGAACCCAAAATCTCATAACTCTATTTCTCAACTTCTCTGTGATCGAGTGTTGCCTCTGACATCAAAATCCGTTTCAGTGGTGCATTCCATCCTTCGTCCTCTCTAATCAGGTGTTGCCTATGATATCAAAGAATCATCAGTGGTCTGTCCAAAATTAGAAGTCCCGACACATGCATTTCTGAACTTCTCCGAAATCAACTTCTTATCTTTCAAAGAATCATCAGCCAATTTCGTGGTAAGTGAACTGCAAGTCTTCCTCTCATCAATTTTATCGCCAATTTCTTTTTTCAACAATATTATATTGTATATAATTTTTTATTGTACTCCCTTAACAAACCAGATGTTTTAGAACCCTAATAGAGTATTAGAAGCAATGGGATTTATGGATAGGGGTGTGTTTTTATCATAGTGTGAGTAGCATCGATATGGGTATGTGTTGATTATATTGTGAGTATCATGGACATGGGTATCAGATTCTGTATCAAAATGTGTTGATAATAATGTGAATAGTATGGATATGGGTATCCGTTTTGTATCTTGGTAATAGGTGAGTAGTATGGATATGGGTATCCGTTTTGTATCTTGCTAATAGGTGAATAGTATGGATTTGGTTATCAGATTGTGTATCCGAAGGTGTTGATAATAGTGTGAATAGTATGAATTTGGGTGTTTGTACCATATCTGACCCTCCACTCGTACAACGACACGTGGATCTCATAAACTCGCCCAAGTACTGATCGGTTCATAATTGTATATCATTTTGTACCCTTCTAGCTTATGATTTGGTTATGTTTTTGAGTTAAACTTGTGCTTTTAATCCTTTTTGTGTTTATCTTTCAGTTCATTGAGCTTTAGGTAATAATGATGGCTTTGGATAGTAAATGATGCAATCCATGCATGTTAGGGCCTAATTTGGATGAATGGATGAAGAGCTTAAAGACAAACTCAATTTTGGCTACAGTTCCCTGCCAGCCCAGTTTCGTAGGTCATATTGCAAGCTTTGTTTCAGCAACCTACATAGCTCGGATGAGGCCACATTCTTCATGAAAGTTGTTCCAATGGGTGTATACTAGAACATAGCCGAAATTCAGCCCCATTGGATAATTGTGGAGTCTGTTACCTAGCAAACACAGAGCCATACT